GCTCCAGGGCTGTTCCTGAGGGCAGGATGAGCTCCTGGGCACCCCCTCAGAACAGTCAGCACCAGGTTTTCCAGCGGGACAGGAGGAGGGGAAAGAGGCACCATCAGTCTGCCACCTTCCCATCCATGTTTTGGTCATCTGCAGCTCCTCCAGGCTGGTGGCTGACACCAGGGCTACGAGGAAATGCCATGCTAAGGAGAATTCCCACTCTGTTCCCTACGTATTTCCTAAATTCATTAAATCCTGGGATGGTTTGGGCTGGAAGGAACCCTAAAGACCATCCTGTGCCAACTTTTTGCCAGGGGCAGGGACACAAACTGAGCTGGGAACTGTATCCAGGACCTTAAATCAATTTTTAAATATTATTACTGTTTCTCCATGCAGATGCAACAGTTTCCTGGGGATGAACTCGAGGCGCAGCTGCTCCTGAACTCATCCACAGGTGGATCAAACCCTTCACCCCAAACAGGACGAGGAATTCACCTCCCAAAAAAGCCAAGATGAAACCTCTGGGTGTGCTACGAGGCTGCCACCCAGCAGGGGCCTCATCCTCTGAACAACACCCACAAGGGCAAAGCCAGAGGTGCCCAGCCCCACATCCCTGGGATCTCCCTGCCCTGTGACAGAGAAACACCTGGACTGCCACAGGATATTCCCAAAAAAATGGACAAAAATGGACAAATTTGGGGTTACTTCCCGAAAAAATGGACAAAAACTCCAGCCCAATGTCCTGACGCCCACAGCAAAGGCTCCACTGTGTCTCCAGCTTTGTACAAGTGGGTTTCAAACCCACATTTTTTGGGATCTGTGATTCCCTCTGGAGATACAAAACTACCCAGGCAGGTTCTTAGAACTTCTAAGATTAGCTCAGGACGTGTTGTCTCAACAACAGGAAGACTGCTCCATTAATGGTTTGGGTTGGAAGGAAAAGTGAAAATGATTTAAGGGAAAACCCCCATGCATTCAGGAATTTCAAGGGGAGAAGCTTCGTCTGTAAAATCCGATCCTGACACTTCCAGCTTGCCCCGGGAGCAACACCTGTCCCACAAATTTTACTTTGTCAAAGCACACTTTTCAAATTTTAATTTCCAACGCATTTGTCAGTACTGTTGGAGCAGCAAACAGCCTCGAGACTGGGAGCTGGGGATAATTCGAGGCAAACTTCATGGAATATCCATTCATCAGTCCCCATTCCCCTCCTGAAAGGGAAAGAGCCGATCCTATAGGGACGGGCAAATCCAACCCCCACCAACCCAACCCTGCCATAAAGAGGATTTTTTTTCCATTTCCCCATTATTTCCCTATCATTACCATATTACATCCCGCAACCTAACTCCCATTATCCCCAGATAACCCCCCCAGTCCACGGGAATTCCACCAAAAAGCTCTCCCGGGCCACCTTTTAANCAGCAAAGGCTCCACTGTGTCTCCAGCTTTGTACAAGTGGGTTTCAAACCCACATTTTTTGGGATCTGTGATTCCCTCTGGAGATACAAAACTACCCAGGCAGGTTCTTAGAACTTCTAAGATTAGCTCAGGACGTGTTGTCTCAACAACAGGAAGACTGCTCCATTAATGGTTTGGGTTGGAAGGAAAAGTGAAAATGATTTAAGGGAAAACCCCCATGCATTCAGGAATTTCAAGGGGAGAAGCTTCGTCTGTAAAATCCGATCCTGACACTTCCAGCTTGCCCCGGGAGCAACACCTGTCCCACAAATTTTACTTTGTCAAAGCACACTTTTCAAATTTTAATTTCCAACGCATTTGTCAGTACTGTTGGAGCAGCAAACAGCCTCGAGACTGGGAGCTGGGGATAATTCGAGGCAAACTTCATGGAATATCCATTCATCAGTCCCCATTCCCCTCCTGAACGGAAAAGAGCCGATCCTATAGGGACGGGCAAATCCAACCCCCACCAACCCAACCCTGCCATAAAGAGGATTTTTTTTCCATTTCCCCATTATTTCCCTATCATTATCATATTACATCCCGCAACCTAACTCCCATTATCCCCAGATAACCCCCCCAGTCCACGGGAATTCCACCAAAAAGCTCTCCCGGGCCACCTTTTAAGCAATTCCCCTTTGTTTTAACGATTACAAAAAAAAGATATTTAAAGGAAATAAAGCGGCGCTTTCGCATCCGCGCCCCTATAAAAGCCGGGAGGCGCCGCGCTCGGTCCCGCCCGCTCCCCTCAGGGCCCTTCAGCCCCCGGGACGGCCCCTGAGGGGAGCGGGCGGGACCGCCCGGTGCCCGCGGGCCTCCGCTCCCCGCAACAAACTTGCGGCGCCGCGCAACAAGTTCCCGGGCGGGCGCCGGCCGCTCTCACCTCGGCCATGATCGCTGGTATTCCCGGGAAAGGGTCACATCGCCGGGGAGCGCCGCTGGGAGCGGCGGCGGCGGCGGGGACGGGACCGGGAGCGGCGGCGGGGCGGGAGGGGCGTGGCCACGTTACGCACGACGTCACCGCGCACCGCGGGAAGCGGGCAGGGCGCGCGCGGCGGCTGTCAGTCAAGGGGAGGCCACGCCCTCCGCGCCTGTCAGTCAACGGGAGGACACGCCCCCTCGCGTGTTATATAGCGCTGGTTCGACCTGTCAGTCAACGGGAGGACACGCCCCCTCGCGTGTTATATAGCGCCGGTTCAACCTGTCAGTCAGGGTAGAGGGCACGCCCCCTCCTGTCACTTGGCCGCGCCCTCGCCTGTCACTCCATGCACAGGCAAGGCCTCATCTGTCACTCAAAGTCTAAGGCCACCTCCTTACACGTCAATCAAAGCGCACACCGCTCCCCACCTGCCACTCAACGCCCAGGCCACGCCCCCTCGCCTGTCAGCGATGCCACGATCCCCGCCTGTCACTCAAACCGCAAGGCCACGCCCCCACCCCTCCGAGGCGCTTCATGCCCATATATGTCATTCGGCGCAAGCCACGCCCCCCGCGTCACTCAACGAGCAAGCCACGCCCCCAGCTATCAATCAGGCGGAGGCCACGCCCCCTCCGCGCTCATTCCGCGCGCAGGCCACGCCCCGGCCGGTGCTGCGCTCCCGCTCGCCGCGGCCCCTCACGGCCCCCGCGGCATCGCCCCGCTGCCCCCTACACCGCCCGGCCCGGCCCCGCAGCATCGCCCCGCTCCGCGCTGCCGCTCCCCACACCCTCCGGCCCCGTACTCACGCGGGGATGTCTCCTCAACGGGGGCTCTTGCTGGGCGTGAGGCTCCCGGGTGACACCAGAGCAGCTCCCGGTTACACGCGCCCCCCGCAAAAGCGGCACGGAGATGCACAAGCAGCGGTAATTCACCGCGTCCTCCCTGCAGCCTCACCTGCGCGGCTCAGCGCCGTGCCGGGGCCGGCGCGGGGCAGCGCCCGGCGGGCATGGCGGCCGTGTCACGGCGAGGGCACCGCGGGACGCTGCTCGGGCGTGTGTCCCCGCGGAGCCCGCGGCTCACGCCCGCCCGGCGCCTCCGCCGAGCAGCCGCATCCCCAAGCCTCACACGGCGGGCGAAAGAACGGGCGGGCGCGCCTCTGCTGACTCAGGGGTGAAACCCCCCCGCGTCAGCGCCGAGCCGGCTGCGGGCGCGGGCAGCGCCGGTTCGCTGACACCGGGCGGAGGCGGGACCCGAACCCGCGGCGGGGGCGGGACCCGAACCGGCGCCGGGCACGGCCCGGGCTGCGGCCGCCAGCACAGCGCGGCCCGCGCGCCGCGCCGCCACCAATCAGCGGCGCCTTTGCTGGCGGCCAATCCCCGCGGCGCGTCTTGCGCGGCGTCGTCATGGGAACCGTGCGACGCCATGCCGGGGCCGCGGCCTGCGCCGTGAGTGCGAGCGGGTCGGGCCTAAAGCCTCGAAATTGTGGAAATAAAACAGCTTTAAAGGCTTAAAAACGCCTGGAAATCAATGATAAATTATAGCACGGAACCAATTATAGTAGAGCATTAATTATAATTAATGAATGGGAAAAGTTCCTTTAGTATAAATGGATTACATCCCTTAAAGACTCAGTAATACATAGTAAATTGTAATATGTAACGTTATAGTCTGTAATGTTAAATTATATTTAATGGATTACATAGGCGGCGAAAATTCTGAATTATAAACTGTTTACATCCCTTAAAATAAAAGGCAGCATTAAATGAATTGTAATATGAAATAAATTATATTCTATAATAAGTCATAATAAATCAGTAGTAAAAGTCCTTTATTTAATTTAATGGTCAATACGTGATGAATTGTAATATGTAATAAATTATATTCTATAATAAATTATATTCTCTAATAAACTACATTCTACAATAAATTTCATTCTATAATAAATTACATTCTATAATAAATTTCATGCTATAATAAATTATAAGGCATAAGTAGTTGTAATAAATAAATTGTAAAAGCCCTATCTATAAATGGTCGAAATGCTTTATGATAATTGGTAATATGTAATTAATTATTGTGGACAATAAATTATAATAAATGGCTGCACTCCTTTCTTATATATGGTTAAAATCCTTTGTAATAATTATTGATATATAATGAATTATAAATTATAATAAATTATAATCAATAAATGGCTTCAATCCCACAGTCTTGTATTATAAATGGTTGGCATCCCTTAAAATAATTGATAATACATAATAAATTATCATATGTAACAAATTACATTCTATAATGGATCATAATATAGAATAGTCTATGATAAATAAATTAATGTTAAACGAATTTTATTTATTATATTATTATATTGATTGTGAAGTCGTTTACATCTCTTAAAATAATGGTCAATATATAATAAATTATAATAATCCTTTATTAGAAATTGTTTAAATCCTTTTAAATAACTAGTAATGTTATAAATTGTAATAATTATTATAATTGTAATAAATGATCAAAGAAATAGTAGAGTCCTTTATTTTAAGAGGTTGAAATCACTTAAAATAATTGGTAATATATAATCAATTATAAGAATCTTTAATTATAAATAGTTAAAATCCTTTAAAATAATTGTAATAAATAATAAGTTATATAACAGATGATAAAAATCCTTTCTTATAAATTGTAACAATTCTTTATAATAATTTTATAATAAATTATAATATATTAAAAATTGTAAGAATCCTTTATTAGAAAGAGTTAAAAATTGTTAAAATCCTTTAAAATAATTGGTAATAAATAACAAGTTATATAAGAAATTGTAAAAATCCTTTATTATAAGAGGTTGCAATCCCTTAAAACAATTGGCAATATATAATAAATTATAAATGGTTAAAAAATCTTTAAAATAATTGGTATTTTATAATGAATTATAATATATTAGAAATTGTAAGAATCCTTTCTTATAAATGGTAATAAATGGTTAAAATCCTTTAAAAGAATTGGTGATATATATTAATGTATTGATACTATTGATATATTACTATAATTAATATTATAAATATAAATATTGTAGTAATAATAATGTAATCAACA